GTGCCCTTCAGGGTGGGCACAACCCATTATGCGTCAGGTGGGGCATCTGGGCTCTCCCACCCTGGTAAGTCAGTGCTGGCGACGGTTGGGAAGCCCCACATTAGATGGAGTGGTCCCACGCGCCTTCCGATTGCACCTGACATGATGTTTGGTTGGCGTCCGTCGGCAACTTGAGGAGGATGAGGGGGACGAGGAGGGGAAAGAGGAGTGGACGAAGAGAGGGAAGAGGAAGAGGACGAAGAGGAGGGAGAGGGGGAGGATGAGGGGTGGAAGGGAACTCCGCATCACGTGACAAAATCCCTCTGCCCCCCCCTCATCCCCGCCTCCCCCGACCGCGATCACCAACCCCGCCCTCCCCCGGACCCCTGGCACCTCCCTGGGGGGGGGGAGAGACAGCCACGGCTACTCCATAGGCCCCTCCTGGGGCAAGCCCTGACCAGGATTTCGAGGCGAATGCAGCCGTGGTGACGACCGAAGGGTGGCGGCATCGGTACCTTCTCGTCCTCGCACTCCCCTCCGCCTTCCCCCTCCCCTGCCGCCCCAGTCGTCTGTGCCCAGCAGTGGCCCCAGGCAAGAGGTGGCCTCAGCGGTGCGCGACTTCCGGGGGCCCGTGGGGAGGACAAGACCGAGCGCGCAGGACGCTGCTATCGATAGTCGGGCCTGTCCCCCTGCAGGGGGATTGGGAGCGGAAAACAAAAAGTGCTCAAAAAATACCCCAAAATAGTCAAAGAATTGTCCAGCAAATCGTCCCCACCAGACTATTGTTTGACTATTTTTGAATATTCCTCCTGTAGAGGGACAGGCCCGACTTAATGCTATCACATAGCGCTCAGCCATCTGGAGCCCCCAGTGGGTGTGCCCGCAACGGGGGTCACTCTGGCGAAAGGTCCCTGCGGAAAGCAAGCGGTATCGATGCCGCTGCTCCCCGAACCTCTCCCAGGGCGCGCTCGGACCAGGATTTCGAGGCGAATCCAGCGGTGGCGACGAGGGCCTCCCCAGGAGGGCGAAAAAGGGGAACACGAGGGAAGAACAACGGTATGGGTACCTCTTCCTCCCCCCACAATGCGCCCGCACTGGATGTCACTCCAGCGAAAGGTCCTTCTTGCATCTTACGAGCCAGCACCACCACCACCGCCGCCCAGAGCCGCCCCCCGCGCCGGGCCCCGCGCGCGGCGCCTTCGACAGGTCGACGGTGGCGCGCTGCGGGCGCACGAAGGACACGCCCGGGGCCAGCTCGCGCAGCCGCTCCTCGGCCCGGGGCCGGCCCCCAAGGCATCGCGCAACTGGCCCCGCGGGGCCGATATTGCCCCCCTTGGATGGGGATGTATCCAGACCTCCTCGAGCCGTGAAAAAATCACGACAAGAGATGTTTCGCATTTTCAGCCTCTGGGGGTCTCACTGGGCCTCGGGACCGTCAAAGAACGACTCAGGACGAAACACCGGTCCCCAGGGAAGGGGTCCAGACCTCTGGGGGTCGACGTTGCGAAAAAATCACCAGGGGTCTGGGTAGGCTGTTCCCGTCGGGTTTCGAGGAGCCTGTCCCCAGCTGGGGTGGTGGGATGGTGGGGCTGCGATACCATGGCCCAGTTGGGATGGGGATAGCGGACACGATACCGAGGGCAAGGCAGGGCAGGACAAGACAAGACAAGGCGGGACCAGACGCTGCCAGCGACAGGGGCCGTCTCGGGTTCCAGAGTGGGCCTACGAGGAGCAGGGGTGGCGAAGATGGAGGCCAGAGCGCCGCACGGGCGGCAGCCCACCGCGTGAGGAGAGGGCGGTGATGCCCCAGTGGGAACAGACCAGCAGACGGACACACGCGCAGACACACAGACGGACCCACAAACTTTGTTGTCTGCCGCGGCGACTTGGGTCCAAGGCGCGGTCGGAGCAGTCGGGGCCAGACTAGGCACAACAAGAGCCAGAGAGGAGCGGAGGGGGGAGAAGAAGCCGCAGACGGCGGAGCACGCTCAGACAATGAAGTGCTGGTGCGTGCGCGACAGACGCACAAGCAGGCGGACGGACGCACGGACGGACGGACACCAGCGTCGCGCCAAGAGCGCGCTCCATGGCTGAGCGGGAGGGGTGCACAGCAGCGATCGGAGCAAGAGCGTGGCAAGCTGTCTCCGATTGTCCAAACAGCGCCTGCACTCAGAGGTTTACAATCACGCGCTGGGTAAAATTGTGCGCATGCCCCGCGCGCGCGTGAACGCCGCCGCGGTGGCCGCCTCGTGGCCGCGTCGTCGCCGCCTCGCGGCCTCGTTGCCGCCTCGTGGCCGCAGTCGTTGTCCCGTCGCCGCACATGGCCGCCTCGTCGCCGCCTCGCGCGCTGGGCGGTTTCCCTGGATCTGCGCCCGGGTCGCCGCTCCTCGCCGCCTGGTGCGCTGGCGGGGCCCTCTGTCGCGCAGCAGTCGTTCAGCAGCTCAGTTGTTGCAGCCCTGTTACTCAACGCCCCGCTGGCGCCCTGATAGCACCTTGCTGCACAACCTATCGGATCTAGTTCCTCGTCGCTTGGCGACGCCAACATCCCGCGCACGCCGTTTCCGTCTAACTGGTGCCGGCTCCCACGGCTGCATGACGAACACCCCGATGCTCCCGCGCTCTCTGCTGTGGGTCCGCTGGCCGTTCCTCCTCAAATTATTGCCGCTGCTTCAGTTACGTCTGCTGTGCCTGCTGCCCCTGCCTCAGCCCCTGGGTGTGGCCGCGATGCCGCTCCGCGACTGCTGCCAGGATGCTCAGCACGGGCTGGCCGCACTGGCCACTCCTGTCCACGCCTTTCGCAAAGTGAGTGCCCTCCCTGTTCCTCCCAGCTCTGCGGCCGCCCTCCACCTTTTCCCCCCCTCGTGCCGCTGGACAATTCGTTCGCCCTCTCCCGGCTAACTCGAGCGCGCGTACGGAACGCCTGTGCCGCCTGATGGCTGGGTTCCTCGAGCTCTCGCTCGGTCCACCGCCCGTCGTCCTCGCCGCCACCTTGTGCAATGACCGGATTCCCCGACACAAATCATCCGCGACCAGAAACTGTCGGCAACGGAGTTCGGGCGCGCCAAACCTCGGTCGCCCCCAAGAAGCCTTGTCCTCCTTATCCACATTTGATCCCTCTCTCTCCTCCTGCTCCTCCTCCTCCACCTCCTCCTCCTCCTCCTCCTCCCTTCCGCGCGGACGAAGACGAGGTCGGGATCACGACCCGCCAAAATGCAGACTGCTTATCGGAACTGCGCTGCTCCTACACTCAGCCTCCTACTTGCTGCGCTGTTGCACAGGCACGGTGGCGGGGTTTGCCGCAGGCAGCTGGCTATATACCCACATACGAATGATGCGTGCTGCTACGAATGAGCAGCATGCAATGTACTGGCCTCTGGAGATCTCCACAGGAGTGATGGGAGGAGGGAGGGAGGGAGGGCACAGAGGGAGCAAAGAAGAGGGGAGGGGAAGAGAGCGGAATGGAAAAAGTGGGCGGGAAGGGAAGGGACGGGGGAGGTTGAGGGGGGGAGCTGAAGAAGGGAAAGCAGGGAGGGGGGAGTGTGGGGGCTCTGAGCCAGAGAAGACTGCTGCTGGCGTGCTGAAGAGCGGCTACGTCACGCAGGGCAGGACGGGTCGAGGAATTCGAGAAGCACCTCGAGGCCGAGACGCAAAAAGCGAAGGGCGCGCCTGATGCGCACCCCAGTCCGCAGCGGCGGCCGCGGCGGACAGCACACCTTAAGATGCTGTGAGGGGTGGGGTGGGACCCCGAACACGTGCCACCCCACCCGCACCCATGTCACGACGAACGTCATTACTTTGCTCCGCTTGCATTGCAAAGCTGCGCCACCAGGATACGCCTGGGCCTGCATGAAGCTAATCTAAGATGAAACCAAAGGTGTGGGATCCACGCGAACAGGCGATCCACGACAATCAAATCACCTTATTCGTGATGCAGTCGGAGGGTGGCGAGAATTGAAGGACCCACAGACACATGCCGCTCGGGATCAAGTCCCTCCAACAGGCGCCCCAATCGATCCTGGCCCGTCCGAGAAGCCGATACTCGCAAGCACTGGCGCGACAAACGTTAGACAATTGCCGACGAAATCAACCCATATAGCTTTCAAATCATGTACCGGTCAGCTTTCGTCACAGTGTGCCCCGTACTGTGCGGGGCGGGAAAAGAGGCTCTGGCCTAAGCATAATTTTCTGGCGGCTGGAGGATCAGCCCGCAACACAGCGGAAAGGGTGGTCATCCTGGTCCCAGACCAGTTCGGGGGCACTCCCCGAAGAGGGAGGACGATGGAGAGGGAGGAAGGGGGAGTAGGGGGGGAAGGAAACGAGGGAGCCCACCCAGCTTCGCAAAGGCTTTACTGGCCATGCGGGCCACAAGCATGCCAACGTGCTCCGCAACTAGACGAGAATGCCAAAGGCAACTCATACCATCCACGTCAACAAAATGCAACATAGACGGTCGCCTGGCAGAAAAATCAGCACACGCACTGCCTGTGGTCATGCACACTACCTGAAGAGGCGACACAACATCTGAATGGGCAGCCACCTGAGACACAGACATGCCGATAACAGATCGTTCTCGAATTGCTAGGGCGTCGCGATAAATGCGCCTCCACGCCCATGCGAATCAGCAACAGCATGCCCCGGGGCTGGGAGGGAGCAGCCAAGGGGAGGGGGCGGGAACGGAGAGGGTGCGAAAGCGCAAGGAGGGGTGTGGGGGGGTCGTCCCCATGCTGCTACAGCTCCTCCGCCTGCTCCTCCTCCTCCTCCTCCTCCAACTCCTCCTCATCATCAGCATCAGCATCAGCATCAGCATCATCAGCAGCAGCATCAGCAGCATAATGGTCATCACGATCATCATCGTCAACATCATCATCATCATCATCATCATCATCATCATCATCATCATCATCATCATCATCATCATCATCATCAGCAGCAGCAGCATCATCAGCAGCAGCATCAGCATCATCATCAGCATCAATGACATCAGCATCATCAACAACAACCTCATCATCAGCAGCAGCAGCATCATCAGCAGCAGCATCAGCTTCATCATCATCAGCATCAGCATCAGCATCAACAAAACCATCAGCATCAACATCATCATAGTTCTCCTCCTCCTTCTCCTCCTCATCCCCATCCTCATCCTCATCCTCCTCATCTTGCTCATCCCCCTCATCCTGCTCATCCTCCTCATCCCCATCCCCCTACTCCCTCCTGGACCCCTCAGAACCCCCTGAGAGCCCCCCGAACCCCTTAAGACCCCCCCCCATCAAAAACCTTCGGGCCGCGTTCCCTCCCCACTCGCCCGCTAGCCCACCCTGCTCCCCCCATCAATCGCGACCACTCCCCCCTTCAGAGCCCCCCAAAAAATCCCTGGACCCCGCCCCGCTCCTCCGTCAGCGATGGGTCGTCTGTCATGACGTACACCGTGCGGTTGCTCCCCCTCGGGCGGGAAGCTCGAAAGCGGCGCGCACCCCGCCTTCGGGAATCTTCTGACCCGGGTCAATCCAGACCCGGGTCAATCAGGCCTTGCAGGTGCCCAACCCATGGCCAGCGCGAAGAATCCTGGAGGATCCTGCAGGACCCTTCACCCAAACCCGGGTCAATGCGGCCCTGGCCCTGCAGGATCCTGCACGATCGGGCGCTCTGGCTGACCCCCGTTCGCATTGACCCCTGTCTCAAGGCTCCCGACGCCCTCCGTCTCTGTGGAGACCAGGGACGAAGGGGGGAGCGGAGGGAGGGAGCGGAGGGCGCGGAAGGACCCCCGCGCGTGAGGGGCGTGCCGACATGGTCGACACGCGGAGGGCGAAGGCAGGGATGGATGGGAGGAGGCGGGAAGAGGGGGAGCAGGAAGGAAAAGAAGAGAAGGAAGGAAGGAAGGAAGAAAGGAAGGAAGGAAGGAAGGAAGGGACGCAGGGCCCTCCCGCCTGCCTGCCTGGAGCTGCGGGGCCCGGGGCCTGGCCGCCGAGGCATCGGCGAGGGGGGCCCTCCGACGCGCGGCGGCGCGCGGCACATGCAGAGGGGAGGGGCGGGGCCGCAGGCCCACCGAGGCTTGCCCCCCCCCCCCCCCCCCTGGACGGTTTCCCCAAGGGCCGTGGGCGGCCCGAGGAGGGGAGGGCGAGGAGGGGAGGGCGAGGAGGAGGAGGAGGAGGAGGAGGAGGAGGAGGAGGAGGAGGGGGAGGGGGAGGGGAAGGAGGAGGAGGAGGATTTTCGACATCAGCCGTTCCCTGACAACCACAGAGGTCAGCGGGGGGCCAGGCCTGGACCTGACCAAGCCTGGACCCCCCGACGGCGCTGCCGATGCAGTCAACGAAGACGTAGAGGACGATCCACGCCGACGAGCCGAGGAGGAAAAGCTCCACGCTCGCGAGCACGAGGATCCGCACAAGCGACTCCTCGAGCATCAGGAACACGAGGAACGCAACCAGCGATTCCTCGAGCACCAGGAGAGGCGAGGCCCGCTCTGCGCGAGGCCCGCGCCGCGCGCACCCAGACGTCCCACGGTGCGAGCCGCAACGCCACGCCGCCCGCAGCCGCCGCCGCACCCGCCGCGGCAGTCCCAGGCCCGTTGGGCGCAGCAGGCACCGCCAGAGCCCATGCCTGCGCATCAGCGCCGCCCGAGGGAACAGCGCCAGGTGCCGAGCGCCGCAGGCCGTCGGCCCAGGCGTCGTCGGCCACGGAATCGTCGTCGGCGTCGGCATCGGCCGCGGCCCCCGCAAGCTGCACGAGCACGATGCCCGTACCAGCAGATCCGGCCGCCGCACCAGCGGCCGCCTCATCGACCTCCATCGTCTCGAGGAGGAGGAGGAGGAGGAGGAGGAGGAGGAGGAGGAGGAGGAGAGGAGGAGGAGGAGGAGGAGGAGGAGGAGGAGGAGGAGGGGTCGCCTAAGCGCTTCGGTCGGAGAAACCCTCCACCCCCCCGCCCTCGCCCTCCCGAAACCCGTGCAATTCGCCGCTGCTGCTGCTGCTGCTGCTGCTGCTGCTGCTGCTGCTGCTGCTGCTGCTGCTGCTGCTGCTGCTCATACACCACAACGTTCCATGGGAGTCGTGGTTTTCTCGGCGTCGGGCGCGGGCAGGCTGCCTCGAACTCCCAGCTGGCGATCCGTCGGGCGCAAGGCGTTGGAAGTGGGAGCGCGCTGGGCGGCTGGGCTCGCCTGCGCGGCTGCCTCGACTTCAGACTGTCGATGTGCCGTCGGCGGGGCGGCTGCGGCCGCCGTCTCTGCTCTGCTTATTATGCTTCTCCTCCTCCCCGAATCTCAGAGGCCAGCCTGTAATCTCTTCTCCCGAGAGGCTCATCAATCCGAGCACTTCCGCAGTGTTGTCCTGGCCCTTCTGGATAGCATCTGCACGCAGCTGGACACGTTGATTTCTCTCCTGCAGAAAAAAGATCTGCTTCATCCTTTGCCATACGCCGAGTTTTCCTCTGCGCTTGTAGGAGTCCGAGCTATTGATATTGCAGCCGCCTCCAGGTGCGTATGACATGTTGCCTGGCGACGAAGAGCACCCGTCCTGTCTGGTCCAAGGTCCCTCGGATCGTTCTGCTGTCTGGCTCTGTGTTCTCGCGGCTGCGGCCCTCCCCACGGAACTTGCCCTCCCTGCAATCCTGGTGCTGTCTGATGCCGGCAGCCAGTCCCGACATGCTCGCCGCGTGGGCGACGGCACTCAAGACTCTGGCAACGCCGTGCCGAATCTGCCCCTGAGCCTGCACAACGCACGGGGGGCCTCTTGTTGGAGAGGCGTAAATCTCGGGTCCCGAGATGGCCTCCCTAGAAGACCCCCCCCTGCAGACCCCTGCAGCCCCGGCGCACTAGAGTTCCCCCTCGGATCCAATACCTTCCGCTGCCCTCGAACTCGTGCTACCAGGTTTGCGCCTGCGGGTTCCTCGTCTGGCCTCTCGGGCCCCTGGGTCCTATTGATCTGCAGGTTCCCTCTCACGGTGCCGCCTTCCTCTTCTTGCCGGTTTTGACCTTGCCCTGGCTCTTCCCCTTCCTGATGCCCCCCCATCTCGCCCGATGGCACAACTCGATGTGTGTCGCCAGCGTCTGACTGAGCCTGCCCCTGAGCCGGCACCCCAGCCTGCGGACGACGTGCGCTAGGTTGTTGTGGCTCGCTGTCAGAATGCTCTTGATGTTCAGCGCCATCTGGGTCTAGTTGCCAACCGTGTACCAGACCATTTTCATCGCGGCCGCCATCCTACCCAGCACTTCAGTTGTTTCCATGGCGGCCAACCTGGCGAAGCTGAGGCCCTCGTAGGTTTCTGGCGACATGTACCGACACTGTGCGCCACCGTGTGATAGTCTCTGTGCAACCCAAAGTCGTTGCTGATGTCCCTGACCACTGCTCACGTAGGTTTCGTACCAAATTTGTCCATGTCCTCCTCCGCTTATGCCATTAGTCTTGCTGCGAATTGTGGGTATGAGTGCACGTGTACTGGCGCTTAGTAGCTCGCAGCGAGGGCGTAGCCAATCTTGTTCGTGCAGATTAATGTCCCTGACACTCTCACTGCAGTCCAGCTGGCAGGACCATATTTTCCTGAGGGACGGTTGCGCCATCTTCTTGCGAATGATCGCAGCAGTCCCGCGCGAGTAGTTTATCATTCGCCCCTTCTTCCCCCCCTCACCTTTAGGACAGTGTGGTGTGGCAGCGTGCTTTCCCTGACTGGTTCGTCCCTGCACCACTACACTGTCCCTGCAGCGAAACACACCATGTCCCACTCTTTCAATCCACTGCTGATATGCTCAAGTCTCTCGTGGCTCTTGGCCAGGAGAAGGTTGTTGTAGCAAATTCCCGTCGCAAAAAGGACTGTAATAATAGAAAGTGCGCCACACACCTGCTCATGCACGGTTCTCTTACCTCCTGCCCTGTGATCTGGGCAGGGCTCCGTCATACGTTGGCTGGGTGCACTCTGCACCGCGAGCTATCGTCGCTCAAAAGGGTCTGAATTCCGAAATGCCGACTGGGAGGAGGAGGAGGAGGAGGAGGAGGAGGAGGAGGAGGAGGAGGAGGAGGAGACCTGGCCTGCCGAGGGAGCGCGGTCGTGGCAGGGACACGCCGCGGCGCTTGTGACCGAGCCTTCGACGACAGGGCAGGCCCGCTTCGCAACGCGGGACTTCAGGGGACGGGGATGGGGTCCCCATTGGGCCAGCTCTTGGCCCTATGGCTGGGCGGTTGGCAATGCCGAACTCTGCGCACGGCCGCCCTGCCACTCTCCGAGCCGATTCCCCCAGGACAGGGGGCGGGGAGCTGATACAGGAGGAGGAGGAGGAGGAAGAGGAGGAGGAGGAGGAGGAGGAGGAGGGGGATTAGGAAGGAGGAGGATGAGGGGGAAGAGCGGAGGAGGAGGAGGAGCAGGAGGAGGAGGAGGAGGAGGAGGAGGAGGAGCAGCAGCATCAGTGAGCAGAAGGATGAGCAGGAGTATTAGCAGGAGGACTAGGGACTAGGAAGGAGGAGGACGAGGAGGAGCAGCAGCATCAGGAGCAGGACGAGCGGGAGGAGCAAGAGGACCAGGGGAAGGCGGGGAAGGGAAAGGAGGGATGCGACCACGACGAGGAAGCACAAGGACGCAGAAATGTAGCCCGCGCTGGGGCGAGAGCGCAACTCTGAACAACGGGGCCAAAGCGCCGACAATAAATTGAGGCAAACGCTGCAGCGGAAGCACCATGTTGAGACACCGAAAATCCGCCGGCCCCCGTCTGGGGGTCACCAGGCTGCAGGACGAGGTTGCTGCTCCCTGCGCCAGTTGCAGTTGCAAGTCTCCAATATCACAATCCAGCGTTCTGCTTCCTACTGTAATTGTTGAAGTCCGCGCGAGGGGGGGGGACCCAAAAGAATCAATTTACCACGCCTGGATCGCACTGCCTAAATTCATGGGGGGGCGTGGAGCATTAAATACATGGGATTCGCGTCCCCGAGGCCATAATCCCGTGGAAATTACACCAGATTCGCGTCCCCGAAACCACAAACCCTCCTAAAGTCTACCATTGTTGCGTCCCTGAGGCAACAAACCCTTGTAACTTGCCAAATATACGCGTCTCCGAGGCAACAAACCCGTGTGAATTAGTCAATTGTCGCGTCCCCGAGGCCATAAGCTATCGCAAATTACGCGATAGTCGCATCCCCGAGGCCATAAACCCTCGCAAAGTACGCCATATTCGCACTGCCGAGGCCAAGAGTGCTCCAAGGCGCCCGAAGATGGTTCCAAGACAACCCAAGAGGACCCCAAGAGGCCCCAAGAGCGCTCCAAGAGGCATCCCGAGAGTCCCAGAAGGCCAAAATGGTCGATTTGACTAAGGATTTTGACCTTCTCGCATTCTCGGCTTTCCAAGACGGCTCAAGAAGCTTCCAAGACCGCCCCAAGGCAGCCTAAGAGGCCTCCAAGAGGGCCCCAAGACGGCCCAAGAGGGTTCCAAGATAGCCCACGAAGCGCTCAAGACGGCCCAGGAGGGACCCAGGACGGTCCCAAGAGGGGCCTAAGCAGGGGACCACGAACCGAAAATTCGTTATGTGTGCCCCCAGAAGCCCCAAGGAGGCCCCTAGAGGCAGCCAGAAGGCCCCAAGAGGCTCCAAGAGGCGCCCAAGACGCGCCCAAGAGGCCTCCAAGAGGCCCAAACGATACCCCAAGAGGCCCCCAAGAGGCGCCCAAACCGCCTCCATGAGGCCCCCGAGATGCTCCCCACGACACACCAACACAAAAACGAGAGGCGACAGCCCAGGCATGGTGGCGGGATGGGCCGAAAGCCACTGGGATCCGCCGCCCCCTGCTTGCAGGGGTGCACGGCGTGCTGGATGAGCTGTTAGGTTTTGGTTTTGGTTCTTTTTCCAAAAGAACTCCCCAGTGGGCTCCGGCAGAACCCGCCACCGTGCGCAAAAACGGCCGTTTCGCTCGGGACATCCTCAAAAAATCGCGAAGATGGCCCAAGATGGCCTCCAAGTCCGCCCGAGATGGTCCAAGACGGCCTCCAAAACGGCCCAAGAGAGTCCAAGACGGCCCAAGACGGCCCAAGAGGCCCCCCAGAGGCCTCCCAGACGGCCCAAGAGGCCTCCAAGAGGTCCTCCAGGAGAGTCCGAAGAGGGCAAAATCATTGATTTTCCCTTGGTTTTTGAAGGATTTTGGCATTTGCGCCTTTTCGGCTCTCCGACGGCTCAAGACGGCCCAAGAAGCCCCCAAGATCGCCCAAGAGGCCCCCAAGAGAGCCCCCTGATGGCCCAAGTGGCCTCCAAGATGGCCCCTAGAGGGCCCCAAGACGGCCCAAGAGGCCTCCAACACGCCCAAGATGGCCTCCAAGACGCCCAAGATGGCCTCCAAGACGGCCCTGGAGCGCCCCAAGAGGGTCCCCCGTTGGCCCAGACAGGCCCCCAAAACGGCTCCCGACGGCGTCAGACGTGCCAGGAACCCACCAAGATGGCCGAAGTTGGCTCGAAGCTGGCCCAAAAGGGCCCAAGAGGCCCCCAAGAGGGCCTCCAGGAAGGCCAAAAGATGCCAAAATCACTGATTTTCCCAAGGTTTTTGATGGATTTGGGCATTTCCCTTCTTTCGGCCTTCCGACGGCCCGAGACGGCCCAAGAGCCCCCAAAGATCGCCGAAAGATCGCCCAAGAGGCCTCCAAGACGACGACGATGACCATCAAGACGCCCACGTGTTCCCCGAAGGCTTTCCAAACCGATTCGGGGAACACATGGTCCGATGGCTTGGCAGGTCTGGCCTCAACGTTCGGCCACATAGGCGCTTCCACAAAGGCAGGGGGCGGCGGTGATTCGCCGTAGGCGTCTTCGATAATGCCAACGTCTCAATACGCGCTGATGATTCCTACTATCAAGGCAACGCCGAGTCGCATCGACGCGACTCTGATGTATCTCATTATGATACAGGAGGGGGCCAGCGGCAGAAGGCGAAGCCCTCACGGATTACAAATGAAGGTTATACTAAACAACTAAATTGAAAATCCTCTGCGTTGAAAGCACTACGCGGAGAGGGCGGAACGCTTCCAGGACTCGGCCGAGGGGAAGAGGGGAGAGTAGCAGCGTTCCTATTGAGAACCTGTGAGGGGGAGAATCAGGAGGCGCACGAACACGCAGCGTGAGGGGGTGGGAGGGCGAGGGTGGCACGGAGAAGGAGTCAGTTGGAGGGTAAATGCTGGGGTCCGCCACAGGAGTATCTCAATGGGTGCTACATGATCCCTTCATGGCTCATACATCGCCCACTCAGCTTCGCTGATATGGCTGGCATCCACTACGCGTGGGCGTATTGAGGCAGGAAAGCGACGCTCGGGCGGACCCCCACACTCACCCACCGAGCCAGGGAGCCTGCCCAGCTTCTCCAGGCCAGCCATGTACGGCCGCACGCCCTCCTTGTTGCGGCCCCAGGAGGGGTCGTCCTGGGCAGCTGCTCCCACCTCCCTGGCATCTCCTGCCCCTGAGATCCGACATTGCGAAAAATGCAACGTCGCCAAAATCACAACCGGAGTCCTAGACTAACCAGCCTCGATCTTATCCCTGTTCCTAAGATTGGCAATCCCAAATGCGATGGCAACCTTAGTTACGTCAGGGAATCCTTGAGTACGGCATCGAGATCAGGTGATGCCCATGATAGGGATAGGGATAGGGATAGGAATATGTGCTCCAGGCTGGCAATGCACCCCATGGTCCTTTAGCATTTTGCAATCCAGATCGCTCTGTGCGGGCCCCAGGGGCCCCAGGCCAGGCGTAAAAGCGGATTGCGCGAAAGATTGCGGCGACCAGATCTCGGGGGTGCAGCCGTCACTGCCGCTGGAGCCCTTCCCCCCCCCCTGGCTCCTGGCTCCCACCCCGCCGCCCCCTTGTGGCCTGCCCCTCGAACTTCTACTGACCCGAAGTCAATGCAAACCCGGGTCGGTCGCGCCCTGCAGGACCCTGCAAAATACTGCACGATCCTGCACGCAGACCTGGGTCAGTGCACTCCTGGCACTGCAGGATCCCGCAAGATTAAAGGCCTCCTCCATGGGGTCCGAGTAGATGTGGTCGATGGATCGCGCCGCATCGCCAATGCATCGCCGATGTATCGGCGATGCATCGGCGATGCATCGGCGACGTCGGCGATGCATCGGCGACGTCTCCGTCTGAAAACACGGGCTCCACATCGAGCCTCCTCGTCGATGCATCGGCGATGCGGCGCGATCCTCCGACCGCATCTACTCGCACCCCATCTAAGAGGCCCAGATCATCTGTGGACTCCTCCTCCTCCTCCTCCTCCTCCTCCTCCTCCTCCTCCCCGTAGCCATTTTGGCTCAAGATGATGAGTTCCTCAGGGGAACAAGTGGATACCGCTAGTCCGCGGCAGTGCCAGGGCTGTTCAGCCCGACATCTTCTCTCGAGACCTGTACGGGGAGCTGCGCGCTGCCGTCCAGAGTCCCAGTCTATCCCGCCGCCATGTCGGATCGCAGGCGTGGAGGCGGCAAGTCCCCAGCTCCAAGGATCTCCTTCTCGGCCGACTACGTGGGATGCAAGAAATGTGGATACCGTTGGACCTACAAGACCAAGCAGTCGTGCTACAGCTGTGGGCAGGCCCTGCGACCATCGTACTCTCCCGCCCCAAAGCCCCGTGGCGTCTGGGCTAGCGGCAGCAGAGGCTGGTGGCAGGACAACCACAAGGACCAGACCGACTGGCACCACGAAGCCGAGGAGACCACGCAGAGGGCCGAGCCGCTCGCGATCGGCGAGGTGGTGCAGACCCTTGGTGGGCAGGCCCTCTCCGAGGCCCAGCGGCAGGCGCTCAAGCAGCTCGAGAGCGCCTTTGCCCCGCCGGCACCGGCGGAGCGTCCCGCGCTCCTGGAGGAGGGCATCCAGCGGGCGGCCGCAGCGGAGAGGGCTGCACGTCGGGAGCTGGAAAAGCGAGCCAAGCAGCTGGCCGACGCCAAGCTCTGGCTCGACGAGTGCCAGGCCCGCTCCGACGCCGCAGCTGACGCCCTGGTGGGTGCGGAGGTCAAGCTGGCTCAGGAGAAGAAGGCTTTGGCGGCTCCAGGCAAGGACTCCCAGCCCGAGGGGACCAACAAGGGCGGCGGGGTCATCAACCTCTCTGCCCTGCTGGGCGAAGGCGAGGCCAGCTTCGTCATCGAGGACGGCCCCCTCTTCGACCTTGAGGGGTTGGACATCACGCCCGAGCAGAGGGAGCAGTTCAACAAGCTCAAGCAGACCTTCGAGGCGTCGGTGCAGCAGGCGGCCCGCACGCACTTCGGGCCAGGGGCCGACGTCCTCAAGTCCCAGCGTGAGCAGTTTGAAGAGATCAGGGTGCTCCGCGAGACCTTCAAGAAGCGCAGGCGTGAGGCCCCCCCTACGGCGGCGGCGGCTGCAGAGGCGCCCGCGCCCCAGACCCCCGAGGGGAGCCCGTCGCAGGCACCCGCCCAGGCCATGCGCGAGGACCCTCCTGCGGAGGCGGCGGCTGCGGAGGCGCCAGCGGCCCAGAGCCCCGAGGGAGGCCCGCCCCAGGCGCCAGCCCAGTCCTCCCAGGAGGCCCAGCAGGCCGCCCAGCCCGCCGCGGAGGCGCAGGGTGCCCAGGGCGCTTCGCCAGGTGCTGCCAGCGCTGATGTTGGCCCTGACGCTGGTGGGGAAGCCGCTGGAAAGGAGCTGGCGGAGGCCTTGCAGCGCGCCAGGGCTCGCAGGGCGGAGGCAGTGGCCAAGCCAGTGCCGCTGTAGCCCGCGCGGGCTCGGCAGCTCGGCCTCCACGGCCACAGGTACCAGTACTCAATGCTCTACATGGTCGGGCTCTTGGCAGGAGTCTAGCACGTCGCAGGAGTCAGATCACGGCAGAGGGTCTCCTCCTGACGCAACATCCAGTACATCTCTCTATACATGGTCAAGTTCACATAAGATGAGCCCTCCGCGTCGTCGAGGCAAGGGCGGCACTCGCAATGTGGGGCTCGAGTTCATAGGCCTCAACTGCTCTTCTTGGGCGCAAGCTATCGATGTGCTGGACGAGGTTGCCACAAGGAAGATCGTGGGCCCCATGCACATCACGTTCCTTCAGGTGCATAAGTTGATTGCGCCCATCGCCAAGGACATAGAGGCGGCCAGCTTCAACAGGCATACAGCAGCATTGGTTCCAGCCGTCAGCGGCCCAGGCGGACGACCGTCTAGTGGAGTTGGATTTCGTGTGCCACGCAATGTTGTTCTTACCCTCGAAGGCAGGAATACGTTTGATAGCTCACCTCCTGGCTCGGCTGGGCGAGTGACAGTGGGCTGGTGCTCTGCTGGACAGAAGGGTGGCCTCATTATTACTACGGCATATTTGTGGACACGTGAAAGTTGGACGATTCAAAATTTGTCAATGGAGGCCATCGCTACGGTCATCAAGCAGCATGACATACCGTGGATATACCAAGCAGATTTCAGCGAGATGTGGGAGTTTCTGCTCAAGACGTGGTGGTGCCAAGATGTGGGAGGAGTGGCGTGTCTCCCCTCCACTACCATGTGTGCAGGAGTCGGCGGTGGCAGTATCAGCGATTTCTTTGTGCTCTACGCCCGCATCCAGCATGCGCTCGGAGACACGGTAGAAGTTTTGGACACTGCAGCCGCACCTCATTCGCCAATCCGTCTAGTCAAGCAGTCCAGGATGCGAGCAAAAGGCGGCTGGAGGCTTGCCAAGCCTAGACCTTTCCAAATCGAGAGGCTGCGCGGACCAGCCCCGCAGCCTGCACAGTGGCCAGACTTCGATCATCAGCGCGATTTAAAGGGCACCCAGCTTGATCAACTCTGGAAGCAGGTCTCACACTGTGCTGAAGCATGGCGGTGGGCAGCCGCACGAGCCAGTAATTTCCTCGCACAAGCTGCCCAGCAGCAGGGCACCTGGATGCATGCACGTGCGCGGCGAGCAAAGCTCGAGCGCCGAATCGGAGGAGGAAGGAGTCGGCTGGTCCAGGACTTGGGGGAGGAGGATGAGCACGCAATCGCCCAGTTTAAAAGATACCGCGCCCTTAGTCTCGGGGGCCCAGCGCTCATGGAGCAGCCCCTAGAGATCATGGGTCTCCAGCGTCGCGCAGAGGCCAATGCTCAGACCATCGAACGGCACCAGGCAGCCGCACGGTCAAAAGAGTGGCGAGAACGTTCGAAGAAGGAGTCGACTACAGGCTCTTTTTTCATCCACAGGATCAGCAAGTGGCGTACTCCTCCTCTCCCCGCTGAGGGTTACTCCGTTCCCAACCTCCAGCTTGCTGATCCGCAGGAATCGGCCGACAGGGCCGCGCAAGAGTGGTTTGAAGATTGGGGCTCCCAGGGGTGCCCAGAGTGTCAGCAGCAGCGCCAGGCTGCAAGCGAATCCTATCCTGATATCATCTACCGCGCCTCCTCCTCGTGCACCTCTTCCTGTCTCTTTTCCAGGGCTCTCGTGCCTCACCTACTGGGGGATCCCTTCCTGGACGTCACGCCCAGCATGGAGACCCTGGACCCAGAGTACGGGGACGATCCCCTTCTCTCAGGCCTGGCCTCCTCGGATGGGTCGGGGGTCGGGGCTTCTGGGTCGAAGTCGTTCGGAGGGGGCCTCTGTTTTGTCGACCAGCATGGAAATATACGCAAAGCAACGCATGGCACAGTTCCAGGAGTTAGGCAGGCACAAAGTGTGCTTAGAGCAGAATTGTACGGTTTCCTGAATCTGCGGCATGTCGCTGCCCCTCTACAGGTGGGGATCGACAATTCTACCGTCGGTCGGGGCCTCATGCGAGGTCCAGTTTTGTGCCGCCCAGCCAGACGACCGCATACCGATTTATGGCATAGAATTTGGAATGCGAGTGAAGATTCGTTCGTTGGGGAGGGTGACCTCGTCGTCGTCAAAGTCGGAGCGCATTCCAAGAAGGCCCATGCCCAACAGCTCGAGGGACCCGAGCTGTGCAAGTACCTAGGCAATCAGAGCGCCAACCTTCAAGCGAAGGACGACGCCAAGCTAGACGCCATCCCGCCGCATATCAGAGACGCGTGGGTGGCCAGATTTAATGAGGTTTGTGCTGTTTTCGGGCTTGTCGGAGATATGACCTGTAAGATAGGCACAATTGGCGACACCACAGGCCGTCACCAGAGCGCCTCCCAGCCCCCTGGCCCTCGGCCGCGCAGTTCGGTTGTGCCTCCTCCCGAGTCTCGGCACGTCCTGGAGGTGGACAGGGGGTCCTGGAGGTGTGCATGGTGTGCCAGACGGGCCCACAGCTACAAGGCCAAGCTGGTGCTGTCGCGTAAGTTTTGCAGGGAGGATTTCTCCTCGCACGCCAAGTGGAAGAAGATAGCGAGTGTCGACGGGGCTCCTTTGGAGGGGCCAAGGCGACACATGCTGTCTCGAATTGGCCACCACACCTCCTGTCGAAAGTGCGGCGCCTGTTTGTGCGCCAGGGCTTGTGGGTTACTTACAGGTTGTCCTAAGGACCCGATGTACCACAAAGCCATGACTCGGCGTAATCGTTTGCTGGCAGGTAAGCATCCTTATAAGAATGACAGACTGCCTGGAGAGGTGGTCGCGTTGTCCAGTGCCCAGGAATTGGAGTTTCTGGAATCGATTGGGAATGCTGCCAAGGCCTCCGCCGCGGGAAGTGGCGTGGAGGCACAAATTTCCTCCGCCGCCTCAGGCGGCGCGGAGGACTAACCTGGTCTGACGCAGGTGGACGCGAGGTGCTCGCCCACGCTGTGCTCGCGGGAAAAACCTCCGCCTCCTCCTCCTCCTCCTCCTCCTCCTCCTCCTCCTCCTCCTCCTCCTCCTCCTCCTCCTCCTTCCCCTCCCCCTCTCCCTCTCCCTCCCCCTCCCCCTCCCCCTCTCCCCCCCCCTCCCCTCCTCCCCCCCTCCTCCTCCTCCTCCTCCTCCTCCTCCTCCTCCTCCCTCCTCCTCCTCCTCCTCCTCCTCCTCATCATCATCATCATCATCATCATCATCATCATCATCATCATCATCATCATCATCATCATCATCATCATCATCATCATCACATCATCATCATCATCATCATCATCGTCATCATCATCATCATCATCACATCATCATCACATCATCATCAGCATCATCAGCATCAGCATCAGCATCATCATCATCAGCATCATCATCATCATCATCATCATCATCATCATCATCATCATCATCATCATCATCATCATCATCATCATCATAAGCATCAGCATCAGCATCATCATCATCATCAGCCTCATCATCATCATCATCATCATCATCATCATCATCATCATCATCATCATCATCATCATCATCATCATCATCATCATCATCATCCACCTCCTCCTGCACCACCTCCTCCTCCTCCTCGTTACTCTTTCTTACGTCGGGTAAGGGTAACGCTTGGGCGGGGTGAGCATGCGAGAGCCGCAGCGTACCCGTGAGGAGCACAGCATGCATTCGGGCACCAGCGTGTGGGGGCGAGGGTCCAGGACCCCCACGCACGCACGATCGTTACCATCACCTGGATGGGGGGGGCACAGGTAACGACCGTTGCGCGCCAGAGCATACAAAAAACAATCTCGAGAACCTTGCGACGCGACGTGAGGAAAATACTGTCGTGAACCTTGCGATGCGACGTGAGGAAAAGTACTGCATCGACAAAAATCACGACTGGAGCCCTAGAACCCATCGTTCTGCGGCACGTTTCGAGGCGGCTCAAGCTGTGACGGACCCAGGGCCCGAAACAGGGCGAAAATACCCGGCGTGACAAAAATGCAACGCTCGGATCTCATGGGAGGAGTGAGGAGGAGAGTCGCCTTCACTCGGGGGTGCGCAGTCAAATCGATCGACGCGCCGCGCGCAGACGTCGTCGCGCGTCCTCGAATCGATTGAGTCCGGGACCGCCCTGCAGACCTGATGGGCCGATTTCCATCACCACTGCCATAGGTAGGGGGAGGAGGAGGAGGAGCAGCAGGAGGAGGAGGAGGAGCAGGAGGAGGAGGAGGAGGAGCAGGAGGAGGAGGAGGACGAGGAGGAGGACGAGGAGGAGGAGGAGGAGGAGGAGGACGAGGAAGAGGAGGAGGACCCCTCCGTCCCCGTCCTGCCCATGGCAGCGGTGGTGGAAGATCGGCCCGCCCAGATCACGCCATGCAGAGGCACCGCAGGCAGCTGCGCCCTGGAGCACTGCCGAGGGGCAACGGCAGTGGGGGACCGGCATAGGGGGGATGCACCGACCTGGACTCGGCGACACATCGCCGATAGCTCGGAGGTAGGCCTCCGGTAGTGAATCCGCACCTTCAGGGGCAGGTTGGGGCCATCGGGCCCCCCATCGGCGATCGATGGGCGACTGGGGGTCGATGCATCCCCCCCGATGCCTATCCCCCCATATCGTTGCCCCTGAACTGCGCGGCACCAGCGCTGCCAGGCCCGGGTCCCCCGCCCCCCGGGGCGAAGGAGGCCCCGAGCCCGAGGCCGAGCGCCAGGTTCAGCGCCGTGCAGGCTCGGTGCGGGGTGCGCGCGGGGGTGCGCGGCCCCGCACCTGATTTGAGCATGGTTTGACCGATCCCCATCCCCGGCGGCGTGGCCAGGACCCCTCTGGCCGATTTACACCCCCTGGATGGAGATATAGGTCGTTCCCCTTCGGGTTTCGAGGGGTGTATCCCCAACTGGGAGGTAGTTTGGTGGGAGTCTCGATGGGGAGGGGGACGGGGATGGGGATGGGGATCGGTTGAACGACCCGCACCAGATCACCGTGCGTCGTGGCAGCGGGCGGCGGGGGTCTCCGCAGTCCTCACAGGTACCCCCCCCTGGGGGACCCCCCTCCACCCCGCCACGTGTCCCCCACCCTGATTACTCCCCTCCCCCCTCTCCTTGCCGCCCCCCCCATTTCTCCATTCCGATCCCTCTCCCCCGCGCCCATCTCCTCCACATCCGCTCACTGTCTCTCTCCTCCACTCTCATCCCTCTCAGCACTAAGAGATGCACGCCAAGCATGGAAAGGCCGCGTGGTATGATGGCATCCGTGGGCATTCAGCGGCCGAAGCGGCGCACGTCTCTGACGGGGGTCGATATGTTGTCGGCCTCTTGTGCGCGCCTGCCCCCAGTAAGACGCAGAGCTGGGCCCTTGGTCGCCCGTCTATCATCCTAGCCTCCCCGTCGCACCCTCTCGCTCCCCTCCGCCTCTCCTCCCCTTCTCGAGGGCGTCCAAGAGGGGAGCGTGAGAGAGAGGGGGGCAGCAAAATCATGGCCGCCCGAAGCACGCGCGTGGCCGAGGCAGGGAAGGGGGGGAGGGCAGGGGAGGCGCGGGAGGGGGAAACGAGGGGGCCATGCAACCCAAGGGGGGGACACCATGGCCCCCGCGATGCGCAGTCTGCCCCCCTTCTGGTCATCCCCCCGCCCTTGGCTCCCCCCCCCCCCCCTCGCCCCAACCCTCTTCCCCCACGGGGAAACTCGGGCCGGGCGCCGTGCTCCCCTCGCCCTCGTCCTCGTCCTCCCTCCGTCCTCCCCCCCCTCTCCTCGGCTCCTCCCTCCCTCGACCCATCCTCGCCCCCTCGGCCCCTCCTCGCCCCCCCCTCGTGGCTCCCCTGGGAAGCCTGGGCAGGGCGCCGGTCCTCCCCGGTCAGGTTCGTGCCCACACGCATGTGGACCGCGGCGAATGGCCCTGGGGCAAGGTCGCGCGCGGAAGCCGCAGGGGCACGCCGAGCGGAGCGCGTCGCCCCAAGACTCCAACGAAGAGGAGGCACCTCTAATTAAATATGCCCATTTCCCTCCATCCCTCTCTCTTTCTCGTTCACTTCCTCTCTCTTTCTTTCATTCGTTATTTCTTTATTTCTTTCTCTCTCTCTCTCTCTCTCTCTCTCTCTATGTCTCTCTCTCTCTGTCTCTCTTTCTCTCTCTCTCTCTCTCTAGCTCGCTCGCTCGCTCGCTCGCTCTCTCTCTCTCTCTCTCGCGCGCGCTCGCTCGCACGCTCTTTCGTTGATTATGTCTCTCTTGTTGTCTCGCTCTTTCGTTTTCTCTCTCTCTCTTTCTCTCTTTCTCTCTCTCTCTCTCTCTCTCTCTCTCTCTCTCTCTCCCTCTTTGTATATGTATGCAGCACCAGCATGTGTATAAATGAATGTAACCATACATACATGAAAATATAGTCATACATAATATGTGTGTATGCGTACAAACAGGTGAATACAATGTACGCATATCCGTATACCTAGAAATATGGCCGGAGGCCCGTCAAAGTCTGGCCAAAGGCCGATAACGACGTTGGGGTCGGTCCCACGATGCATCAGCATCATTATCAATCGATCGATATCACTGGGAACCTGTGTCTCGAAACATCGATTCCTTTAGTTATATATGTATCGTTCCAACTGATGGTTCACGAACGATCCTCGCTATCACTCTCTATCGATCTCAAGTCCCTTTATGTCTGTACAGGGGAAGGGGGGAGCGGCCAGCCACAAGAGGGGAGCGGGCGGAGATCTCCGACAGGAGTCCCGAGAGCGAGCAAATAGCAGCTCAACAACACCAGTGGGGCGACTCCCCCCATTTTCTTGCATGCGCGATCACACTCGCGAGAAAGCGCGCTACAGCCCAGGCCGTCGCCAGGGCCGATCCGAAACCTCTGTCACGGGGCACGCCCCCTACAAAAAGGAAATCGCGATGAACCCTACAAGAGGGCAGGGGGGTCAGGACCGGAAAAGCGACGAGCACAGACAAGAGCGAGCGACAACACAACGCCAAGCAGCGCCCCATCGAGGGGGCCGAAGCAAGGTGACAAATGCAATGGGCAGTAGACTACGGACGGCCCCCGACACCGCAATTTGCAACATCAAAAACCCTGGGAAACAATTATTTATGTTTACACAGGGGACGGGGGAGCGGCCAGCCACAAAAGGGGGCCAGGCGGAGATCTCCGACAGGAGTCCCGAGAGCGAGCAGATAATTATCAGTTTAACAACACCAGTGGGGCGACTCCGCCCAAGTTCTTGCGCGCACGATCACACTCGCGCGAATGCGCGCCACAGCCAAGGCCGTCGCCAGGGCCGAACCAAAACCTGTCACGGGGCACGCCCCCTACAGAAAATAAACCGCGATGAGCCGCCCTCGCCGCAATGCAAAGTCTCTGGCCCTCGGGCGGCCCACAGCCTGTTTCCCAAGGGTGGGCGGGAGGGAGAAAAAATGTACGGGATATGAGAACCGAGACCATCCGCCTCGCGGCACGCCCACAGGTTCCACCACCATTTAACTCATCAGCAAGGAGAGGGAAGAAAGGGCGCGGCGGCTCGGCTCAAGTCCTGCGTCGAGCGCGCGCACGACATGCGCTCGGAGGCTTGCCCACAGGCTCGGACCAGGCCGACTGGTCGTCGTCAAAAAAAAATCACGCTGTCGCCTCTGAGGTCGGCGAGCACATGGATGAGGCGCACTGCCGGCGGTGTCTCCGCCACCGCCGACCTCTCGATCGCCTCCTCCAGGTGCGTGGACGGCCGTCGCCAAAAGCCGCGCCCGCCTCAATCACCCCTGCGGGTAGCTGAGACCTCCTCTCGACGAGGGCGCGGACCGCGGCGCATCGGCCCAGGGCAGCCGGCGTCTTCCATCGCCCACTCCCGCGAGTTTCTTCGAGCCCCCCGCCCAACACCGCGAAGTCGGTCGCGGCTGCGTGGCGGATGCCGCGCGGGAGGCCCGCGTGCCCCAAGCCGAGCCCCTCCAGCAGCTTGCCCCACGAGCGCCCGCCCTGGCTCGCAGGCGGCACGAGCTCGGCGTCAGAGATGACCGAGAAGAGGACCTCCATGATGGCCCTGGTGACTTTCATCTTGAGCTCGACGCCCTGGTCGGACCCCGTCTTGACCTTCTCTCCACGCCCCCACCTTCCCAGGAGCAACGCAATCGCCCGTCCATGTCGATGCTCACGTCGCTCTTTCGTAGCTGGCACCAATCCTGCTCTCTCACCCAACCGCCCAGCTGCACGAGCGCGGCAGCTCCCTCGATGATCTGCCCCCGCTCGAAGCCCTGATGATGGCCCCAATCGCCCCCATCGGAATAGCCCCCCCCCTCCCTGCCAAAGCCCATGCGCCCCCAGCTCTTGAGGGCGCGGGCGGAGACGGGCAGGCAGCTCCCGTCGTCCTCGAAGATGCGCATGAACCCTTTGAACAGATAGCTCGCCTTCATGAAGCTGGCCTGCTGCACGTAGCACACGTCTGCGATGTGGTCCGCCAGCGCCCGTCGAGCCGGCTGTCCTGCGGTGGAAGATGCTGAGCCCGGGCTCTCACGACCCGCGGCAGACCATGTCGCAGCCTCACCCGCGCTACGTCCAGGACCCTCTCCCAGCAGGGCTAGACGCCCTTCGCGACCTGAGCGTAGGCCTCGCAGGAGGAGACGGGGCACGGGCAGGCGAGCTTTGTCCACTTCGCGCCCTCTGGGCTGCTCCCCCACAGCTCGCGGTACACCAGCCCCGTCCTCGAACGGCGCCCTCCCGTCCCCTGGCACCGAAGCTCCATCGCGCCGAGGGCTTTGCAGTTGGTCACCATGGTGGACGGCTTCTTCCACTCCTTCCCGAACTGGCAGTAGTCCAGGTTGATCGCGGCGACCTCGGGCTTCGCGAGCAGCTCGAGCACGGGCGGGAAGGCCCGCATCAAGCTGGACTCGGGATTCCCGATCACAAAATAGACCCCCTCCCTGGCACAGAAGAGGCCCACCTGCACCGCCAACATGCACAGCGTAGACCCTCCTGAGCTTTGTCCGCGTCGATGGGCCCTAGCCCTGGCAGCCCCCAGGGCGAGTCGACCGTTCTCAGCGGTGGGCGCCCGGCCCGAGAAAGGTAGAGAAAGGGGGGGCCATGTGTGTCCCCCACCACCACCGCCACCGCTGACGTCGGAAGAGACGCCCGAGGTTCGGGACCTGGAGGAGATCGCACCCGCTGCCTTTCATCAGATCCCAAGCCCCCCCTCCCAGGACAGAGTCGTAGCCAGCATCGCCTCGAGGAGCCTCTCGCTGCGAACGAACCGCCCCAGAAAGCCAGGCCGCCCCATCTCTGGGGATAGCGGCGCATCGCCCACATCTCCTGCAGCGCCCACCTCCTGCGCCACGTCGGCGTATGCTCTGGCCGCCTGAATCGTCCAGGACTGCAAGGCACCTCGACTGAGCTCGGCGCTGATCTCCTCCGTGCCCGACTGCGCAATAACCGCCACAAAACCCTCCTCCGACGCGTCCGCCACGCAGACCTTATCCAGCCAAGGCGCTTCCAGATCCGCCTCCATGCACACATGTAGCGCTGACAGCGCCTGCAGCTCGCTTCGAACCCGATGGTCCAACACCTGCCACCTCGAAGCCGCCCCCTCGCTGAAACTGGCAATCCAGCGGCAGGCTGCATCCAGGATACAGAAAGCCGCCCTGTTGGCCATTATGGCCCACGTCCAGAGCCCCGGCAGACTGCTGAGAGCCGCAGGCGGCACCCGACCCAAGATGATCACAGCTTCCGTCGCAAGCACCACGTCCCTCATCTTGTCCTGGACGACACGGAGAGCCTGCACGGCCTCGACCCAATGGACAGGCCAAGACCCCTCGTCAAGCCCTCAACCCAGTCCTCCTTGTGAACGGGCAGCCCCTGCTTCACCAGGTGCGCCTTCACCCTCGCCCTGTCGACACCCAACTCCCCCCCTTTCCTCGAGCGCAACTTCAGCCCGATGTAGTCGTCGGTGCACAGCAGGAGCATCAGCTGGACCTTCTCAAAAGACGAGATGGGGCGCCCGTAAGTTACCTGCCCCAAGTCGATCTCGGGCAGGCTCTCGAGCGCATCCGAAAGACAGCTGCGGGCTAAAAAAACCGCCCAGCTGGACCCCATGACCGGGGACATGGCCACAACTCCGACGTCGTCGGCTTCGGGCTTCGGCACGGCAATCCCCTGCCCGCGCGGGCAACCGTAGATCTGCTGCGGGGCCACCCCGGGCAATGCAAAGTAATCCGCCAAAGACGCCGGCCACCGTAGCTGGTAGAACCAGTCGGGAATATAGCCCCAGAAGGAGTAGAGCCGCCGCCCACGTAGGATCGATTCGCCCAGCACCACAAGCGCCAGGGACGCGGGAGAGCCCGGCGGCGCCCACGGTGGGTCCTGGAACAGAAGTTTGACCCTTCTGCAGTCCCAAACCAGGCGGCTCTTCTCCGCTTCCTTGCCCGACTCGCTCAGGTTCTCGATGACAATAACGCACCGACCCGCTCGCGCATGTTCCTGGCGTACCCGACCACCCCCGAGCGAAGCATTCGAAGAGTGAGCTCCAATCGGTTGTCGGCCCGTCTCCAGCCTGGGTCGGTGTAGCCGCGCGCGTTCTCGCAGCGGCCCCAGTCGACCTGGCCCGCTGCCTTGATCATCTCGTCGATGAAGTCCCCGAGGTATGCCCCATGATGTCCATGCCCTTCGCGTCGGGCGGCGGCGCCGAGACCTCCTTGGCCACCAAGGGGCACATGTCCCCGTTGGTGGGCCGCCTGCCAGTCGTCATCATCCTCATCCTTGTACGTGTAGTCTGGTAATCCAGTGCCCCCCCCCTCCCGGGCGGCCGATCACCGCCCCGCCGTCGTCGGCGGTACCCCAGCACCAAGACCGAGCGCGCTTGTCCCACAGGTCGTTGATGACGGCCGTCTGCAATTGGGTCGCGGTCCGCCAGCCCCGCCAAT